TTCTTTTTGTGATACTTGGATCAATACCATTTTGCAACTAAGATATTCAACATAGCAATTCAGTGTCTGAAAGTTACTCTCTTATTGTAAGCCTCAAATCTTCAGTTAATATTTAGCTCATTACACGTCATAATGCCACATGCACTTCTTGCTTTCCATTACAAACTGAGTTCACTCTGTCTCTGTAACATGGGCCACTTCTACTTCTACAGTTTCAATGGCTTGTGTGACCTCAGCCATTTTTTGTCCTTGCTGTTGTGCCAATACGTAATTTACTACCTGCATGATACTTTGGTCAGAAAGGGTGGACACTGATGTACATTCCTCAGTCGCTGCAACAGCTTCAATAGCTTCAAGTGTTTCTCCTGTCACTACCACGGTCTCAATCTCCTCACCACCCACATTAATCTCAGTTTCTTGTTCTTGCATGTCTGCTGCTAATATACTGATGGCATGTTCCACCTGTGTCCCTTGGTTATGAAACTGAAGGGTGTCCTTTTCCAGCATTATTTTACAAGGTACATAATCTCTGTGGAACTTGGTCATATGCTTTCGGAGTGTCCGAGCATCTATGTAAGCTTCATTACACACAGGGCAGATGTAGGGTCGCTCTCCAGTATGTGTCCTGACATGGCGCTTCAAGGAACGTGCATCAGCCCAAGCTACTCCACAAGTCAGACATTCAAAAGGCTTCACACCTGTTTACAAAACAAGAGCAGGAAAACCTCACTGGATTTTGTAAGCCTGCGTAAGTGACAAGAAATTGCCCCCAGGAAGAACAACGTTATAAAAAAGGTAACTGGGAAACTATTTGCATTTCAAGAGGCTATAGAGGTCAATACAGCCTCTCCCTTATAACTTTTAAGAACCTGTTGTCCTGTTCTACTGGGGGGCGGGGGGACGGGGACAAGGAATAACCATTTACTACATGTTAATTTTGAACTGAGAACTCTGCAAGGGAACAGTCTCCTAAAACATTTGTAAGTGCCCAATTCTGCCTTCAAAGTCAAGACTGAGTGCTTTTGAAAACCCTATTCCAAGTGTTACTGAACCCAATAAAAGTCAAGAGCCACTCTGTTTTGCCTAGAATGATATCACACAACATCTAGCGTACAGTCACAGAAGAGGTTGGAAAGGAAAGCTGAGAGGCCCACTGCAGGAAAAAAAATGCTTTTAGTTTTCTCCTGAAAAATCTCCAAAACTGATGCCACAAACTCTCCAGACAAAATATCCGCTTTCAAAAAAAGTGTTTCCTGATGTAGCGTCAATGATTTTTCATTTTGAGACGGTTCCCTTAGACACAATTCCAGTCCCCTATTTTTATTCCCTATTTTAAAATAGTGTGGTAACAAATTTAACTCCAGAAGGAACACAGACGCACACATTTTAGAAGTTTTCTAAATATTTGAAACCAATATCGTAACTGTGCCCCCCCCCCGAAAAGTTGTGCAGGTTTAATGTTTTGCCACAATAAATTCCTTGCCAATTATAAACCTTTAGCCATATCCCACAGAAAGCCTCATGGAAATATTTTTACTACAAATGGAGACCAATCCTTGCATGTGTCTGGTGCTGTGAAGACTTAAGAGATCCCTTTGAAAGTTACCAGAAGCATATTAACAAGGGTAAGTGTAGAGCTAGCTCCCCTTGACAGGAAGATCTATAATTACTCCTTGAATGGAACTCCTTGAGGGAGTAATAAGGTTCTGAAGCTTCTGTCTTTTTGTAAAGAAATATTATTTTTACAGAAAGGACAAAATCACTTATACCTTCATGATTGTTCATGTGTCTCCTGAACTCCCGGAGCTGGGTGAATTTTCTTCCACAGTGTTCACATACTCGTTCCAGATTTTGTTTTGCTCTCCCTTTCTTCCCATGAGTGGCCTTCTTTACGTGCCTTCTGTACAAAGCTTTCTCATAGAATTCTTTGCCACATATGTTACACCTGAAATGTATTGTTAAGTATAGAAAACCTACTTGAAACTGGGTGACTAGATAAGTTTTAAGCCAAATGGGACAGTTTAAAGGGAATGCCAAAGTTCTGACTGAAAGTGTTAAGGTCCAACTCTGACATGAGAGGAGTATTTCAGAATGACTGCAAGACCACAGCCACATGCTTTCTTATCCAGAAACACAAACTTTCACTTGCCTTTCCAGAGACTAGAAGCCATACATTATTAAAGCAACATTAATCCTCCCCCCCACCAATTTTACTTCCAAAACTGATTTTATGAGCTACAAGGGAGTAACAGGATGCATCCTGTACACACGTTCTTTCTATTTCGGTGAAGGATAGTGAAAGCAAGGACAGGATTCAGATGCCCAAAGCCACCTTAACTTTGCATCATAATACCACTTTATCTTCATACATTTTAGGAAACAGACTAGAAAATCCTCCTAACATTGCACTCTAGAGCAGCAATCAGTAACCTTTTGCGAAACGCTGGCCACAGATTGCGATTGGAGCAAGTGCCACAGGCCACATCCCCCTCCAACTACTGCAGCAACAGTGAGCAGAGGTTACAGTGGAGAAGCACAGCCCTCCACATGGGCTGTAGCTGCTAGCTGGAAGGGGTGTGTCATTAGCAAAGGGAGGACCAGATCAAAGGTCTGGAGAATTGGCATGTCCTTACTAAAACACAGACTGGATTAAATCTATGCAGGCCAGATCTAATATCTTTGCAGACTAGATCCAATCCCTGCACAGGCCAGATCCAGCCCACAGACCATAGGTCCTGTAGCATCTCTCTGGATTTGAAGTACTGGCTTTTGTACTTTCCACAAAGGAAAATAGTGTAAGTATTCAATCAAGAAATGTAACCAATGGTCTATAACCATGCACATGTATTATTAACTTGCCTCGAACATAAAAGGCTTTCTGGGCAGACTGAAAATCTTAACTGCTGCATCTCTTATAAATCAAAACAAGCTTTGTTGACTAAACCTTGGGAGTCAGGACTGCATGCTACTAATGTTCAGTAACGGCAAAATATCTCATTTTGTTTCCTGAAAAGTATTCCAAAGGGACATGACCACTTTTCAACCATCCCTGAAGATACTCAAAGAAAGTAAATACCAAGTGATTCAGTTCATTCTTTCCAGTGATCTGTCTTTTTTCTAATTTACTAATTTCTAATTTTCGTATCATTTATATCAGTGGTGTCAAAGATCTAGCCCCCAGAGCTGTACCATTCAGCCCCTGGTGCTGCCCATGGGTCTCAGAGCAATCCAAATGCAGAAGGTGGGGCACGTAGATGGCCCTGCACACAGCACCTTCTAATTCATGTCCTGGAGCAGCAAAGCACCTGCCACATGCGGCACAGCCCTGGAGCAGCTGTATGCCACTCCAAAGCCATGCTGTCCATGGCTGTGGCTCCAGGGCTGTGTAACACAGATATAGAGTAGCCAGAGCAGAACTGGGCCTCAGTGCTCATTCCAGCTGCTCCAGGACGTGTGATGAAATGTGGCATTGGTCTGCAGGTCCAACCCCACACGGCTAAATGAATCTGACACTCATGATTTATACTATCCATCAGTACCAATTTTACATTTTCTTCCAGATGTTTGCTAGAGATATAAATAGCAAAGGGCGACAAATTAATTCACAGTGGGCTATACTAGGGGCACACGGTTTGAAGATTATGGTAATGATTACGCTGAGCTCTATTATTTAGCTTGTTAACCCATCCAATACATGTTACACTGATCCTGTGCAAGACTAAAGAAACTAAAATACAGTACCAAATCAAATTCTTTCAAGAAGCTTAAGTTTCTTTGCATCAGCCCTATCAACCAAACTCATGTCAACTCAAACAGATGGCATGAGATTTCTAGCACATCTCTCAGTTTCAACTACCCTGAAATAATGCAGCTTTCTTTCTATATGCAGAAAGGTGTTTAAGATGCTGGTAAACCTCTTCTTTCATGTTATTTGGTGTTCTTTAGCCGACGCCAACTAAATCCCCAATTTGTGCATTCTCTCAAGATATCAATCCAACATCTAAGATCAAGTCTAATTAATATAGCTGTTTTTCTAAATCAGCTCTATGAAGTCAGTCACTAAGGTGGGCAATCTTCTTTAGGCTTATACAAATAGGTCAATATTTGATTCGGATCTAGCCGATTCGGAGGACAGCAATTTGATTCAGATCACTGTCCCAAATCAATTCAGCTGAATCTTCAGGAGATTCAGCACCGATTCAGAGAAATTTGGCGATTCAGATCAGCCAGGGAGGGGTAGGCACAGCTGGATGGCTCCTCCCCCACCCTCCCATCCCTGGTGGCCCTCCCACCCGACCCCAGCAGTCCAGGAATAAAAAACAAACGAACAACCAAAACACCCGTACTCACGAGCAATAGCAGCGGCTGTGGGGCCTCTGGGGCCATGT